GTATATAAATAATCAACAGTAAAAACAGTACGGTGCAGCAGAAGTCTAATTAGCATTTTCAAATGTTTTCAGTCTTATTAAGCTGCGTATTATTAAGTAAAAATCAACGTTTGTAGGAAAGCGCTTAAGGCCAACTCAGACAGCGTCGGCCGACGCAGCCCGACCCGATTTATCGTCGGGGACAGTCTTAAGCCGTCGTGAGAAATATTAAGCACGTTTAATATTCTACGCGACTGCCCCCGACGCACACCATCGCGTCTGCGTTCAACTCACACAGACCCGACGCGACAACAACTCATGAGTGATACGTCTTTTGTCCCACCTCTATCGAGAGAATGAAGGTACAACAAACAAAAGGCTCCTGATCATGGATTTGGAATAGACGTCAAAGTTCAGCCCTTGTGTTAATGATTCATCCCATGCAAGGGTAATTTTAATGAATAGGGATTCTATGGTTAAATGCCATTGAATTATGTAGATTTGTTACCAACAATTGCAACCCACCGAACCATATTTAAACTGGTTATATTGTAAACAATTCTTGCAATTCAGTGCAATGGCGAACAAAATTGTAGTTAGCTTATCTCCAGACATCTATAGACTATAAATTTAAATGATATGTCTACTAGGCTATATATTAAAAACATGTTTATGCTTCCATTTGGTCGATGTATTATTCCTGTGTTGTTAATTTTAAGTTCCATACCCGTAAATGGTTACGACAAAGGTAAGAATGATTTTTAATATTTGTCGCATTATGTTTGTGTTTATGAGAGAGTATACTTTAAGCCTCGTAATTTATCCTATAGATTATTAAGCCTAATTATTTGTGCTATTATATAATGGAGGCGCACTACACTGAGATATAGGCCTTACCCTAAATAAGCCTATAAATCCGATATGATTCAAAACATATCAGATATTATGCGTATGTTATTAGTTTCCAATTGTGAACCCGGCAGTATGGAATATCTAGGCCTATAGTACAGGAAAGTGTATTATCCCAACATATTCCACCATAAATTGGGAATACGCTCAGAACGAGGTGCTATTCTCACGAATAAGTGCAATTAAATCTGGTTTTTAAGCCGCACGTAATGAGACTTCAGACAGTGCCGGTCAGGTCCATAGGTGAAGCACTGGTCGGGGTCCGGAGGATACTGGGACATTTTTAGAGCATGAAGCTGTTCTGAAACGTTTAGCCACGTATTAGGCCACATGTTGAAAGAAATAATACTGTAATAATTGTTTGGTCTGTCTAGTTGTGGCCGACAGGAAAATTGGCCTGTAAGGAGGGGTCTTATTCTTTTTCCCCGTCCCACTGGCACCGCTAGAGTTAATAAAAGACATATAAACTTCTAAATTGTTAATTTCTTATGTCTGTGTTTATTTCAGTTTACATGGGCCATGGAACAAAAAGTGGGTACGTGACTTGCCCGCCAGAGGTCAAAATAAATAGTAATGGTGGAGAGATTAGTGGACTCGTACGTCCATACGAGAATGAATTGAACTGTACCGTGAAAATAGAGGCCGAACTTGGATCTATGATTAAAATAAAGATCGACAAGATCGACTTCGTTACGGCACATCCCAGCGATTGTTACTCCGTTAAACTTCTAATATATGATGGAGAATTTTTTGAAAACTCTAACATTATTCCTTCGTTTCCCAACGGTCTTTGCAACCAGTCTTTCCCGTCTCAAACACTAAAAACCAGAAGTAATATGCTGTCACTACGCTTTGAAGTTACTAATGATATCTCAGTCGATGTATCTTTCCAAGTCATCTACACGTCATATACAAAAGTTAATGGTAACTATTTGATTTGATTTAATTTCATTCCCAACGAGAACAAATACACAGAAAAAAAATATCGTCAATTAAATCAAAAGCAACTATTTAAAGATATCGGAGATAACCACATAAGTTCCTAGAGGGATTACTTTCCATGTAATAACGGTACTCTGTACAATATCACTATTTTAAGAAAAACTGAGGTGATTGTTTATATAATCATCTATATAATATAATACAATATAATATATTTCAAATTAGTTCTCGGATTCAAATTTTGGTCGGGGCGTACGTTTCAAGTATTTATTATATAAAATATGTATGAATAATATATGTATATGTTGGTATGTATATGTATATATATATATAGATTAAAAGGCAAAATACTGGAAAACAACAATGCTGTGGGAAACAATGGCTGGATCTCAGTACAGGTATAATATAGTGTAGCTTGACATCTTAAATATTTGGTTAAAGAATATTTATAAAATTATATTATGCCTATAAAATAATAAAATGTGATTAAAAACATAGTACCACCGGATATATATTATCAGATACGAATCATTTCAGGGCATCTTACAATTATGAATACATAAACAATTAAAAAAATTGCCTTAAAAACTAATTTAAAAAAACCATTTGATAGGGATTGGATGTAAGCCATGATACCTATTACAAGTGAATTTATGTTTGTTTAGATGGTACTTGCTTCTTTTGTGGCGACACTAAAGAGATGTGCATTCCAGATGAGTTGCGTTGTGATGGTTTGGAGAACTGCGCAAACTCGTTCGATGAGGAAGATTGCAACTCATGTGAGTATCTCCAAGGAGAACTGACGATTTAGGCCACAATGTGTTTACTCAATGAATACTTATGAAAGATACTTATAAAAGATACGCTCAAAGCATGGAGTTTTTATTTCTCCATGCTCAGAGCGTGCCAATGTCAAACATAAATCGGTCGCTAGTAGTGCTGTTTCAAAGAAATAAAAAATAGAAAATAAATAATATCATAACAAAATAGAAAATAAATAATATCATAACAAAATTGGAGGTCTAAATTAAAAGGTTCAAGCTCATCCTCTGCTATTGCCGGATTAGACAAAGATGTCTCGCTAGAATATGTTCTTGGTAGATCGTCTATGTCGACGGTAAGCTGGACTTTACAACCTAAGTGAATACGCTGTTGCGTGACCCTTAAGATAATAATTATTTGGGTCAATTTAACTGGGATACAGTCTTTATTAATGGCAGCACTAAATCCAAATAATATGGTTTATATTGAACATTTAATATTTATTTCATATTTGTTGCAAAGTACACCAATATGTAACTTCATAAATGAAATGATAATCAGCCATTTGATATTTTTTTTTAAATTGTCACAATACATGAAGCTTACTTGTTGCGTATATTTCAATTAACAATTACTTAATATTTCATATTCCTACAGTCGTAAACGGTGAACCTAAAGGAGGAAGTAGCGCAACGTGGATTGCTTGCCACAATCATGAAGCTCACTTGTTGCGTATATTTCAATTAACAATTACTTATTTCATATTCCTACAGTCGTAAACGGTGAACCTGAAGGAGGAAGTAACGCAACGTGGATTGCTATATTTGCCACAATCGTAGTCATCCTCTTAGTCGCTTTCATTGTTTTTCTCTTAGTATACAAACGACATGCATCAACGCAAAATACAAATACATCGAGGGCCGAAGTACATGTTTACAATAATGATTCTATATATTATGGACCTAGCACGAGCCAATGGACACAACCACCGCTTTCTGTAACAAGCTCCCCACCTAGTAATGCACAAAGGGCAAGCTGTGCACATGGATCTGTTGCAGGTTTACCAGATCAACCACCGTCGTATGAGCGTTCACTTCAAGATGCAGCAAACGAGGATCTTGCTCTTAAAAGGTCACTAGCCCAAGATTAATTTAAAGAGATTAAATCTTTACCGGTATATAATTTTGTTGAAAATACAGTAATTTAACGAAAAGGATTAGAGGTTATAGTGGTGCTACTGTAAATTTTACAACATATACCGTATGCATTCTTTTAAATAATTCTGGAATTGCATGTAGATAAAAATAGATTATATTTTATGAGATTAAAAAAAAAATGATTATAGTTTGTTAAAGAACGAAAAAAGTAATAAAAATTTCTACAGTTACTATTCAATGGCGGTTTAAGTTTAGAGCACATACTGATTGGTTAGTCTTGGTTAACCAGTCAACGACACAATACATAATGTTATAATCGTATCAACGAAAATTTCCTTTTTCCAAAATATGTATTGTAGTTATCATATTCAATATAGCGCACACCATAACGTTGAAATGGAATATATTGTATTTTAATATAGGCATAGTCCTGGCTTTTTACACACACTGGGTATATACAAGTTTATGAAAAAAAGTAAAATGATAAGAACTCAGAGAAGGTAGATGGAATATAATAACTCACGTAAAAATTAATGGCTTTGAAGTTATTATCAGACTCTCTCTTGTAATGGAAATATAAAAACGTTACATTTAAGAGTCAATGACTTTTGTACAAAAAAGCTACGGTACTGAAAGAAAATAGTCATCGACTCGGAAAGGTAACATATTTTCTATTTTCCATGTGAAATTGTTTAAAAGAGCTGTTGTTAATAACATTACACTGGGAAAATAGCTATTGACTGTGATTCTTGTAAAGCCATTCCGAAAACGTGCTCCTGCAATTTTAGATTGCTCCATTTTGCCAATGCTGGCTCTAGGAGAGACATCAGCTTAGCTTCTTTCTTCATGGCTCAAGTATCTTGGCCGTGTTTCTGTCAGTGCTATTAGAAAGACGAACTGAGGCAAAGCCATGTACGCATGTAAAATCAGACTACAGAGATAATAATCTTTCCTCAGTTCGAGAGTTTGCCAATTCAACGCATTTAAAAATCATCTCGAATTGTTTTATACTCACGGTTTTTTTTTTCATGTGACTATTCTACCCGATCTTTTCTGAAGACTTTCTGGCAGGGGACTATCTCAGACGGAAACATTGTATGGTACTATTATTGTTTTATAAAGAGCTTCTAGCAGCTGAGATATATCAATAATAAATACAATTTTAAAAAGTAATGGCCGCATTATACGTCCTTTGTACCCCGATTTTGATTTCCTTTACTTAGGATTTTTCACTGGTACATTATACAAGTTGCTTTCACGCGGTAACTAACTATCAAACCATTTGATTGGGTTTTTAAATGTTTTTTCTTGTTCTTTTCTTTGTTTCTTCTTCATCTTATTTGTTTCTTTTATTCCACTTCTATTTGACGTTTAGTGAAAGAAACTGCATTGAGACGACGTAGTACTATGTGCTAAAGTTTGCAGCCATTACTATTATTATTTTTCTAAATGATCAAGCCTAATTAATAGAGGGATTTTATGATGTGTGGTGTCAATCAATACAGTTTGATAAAAATATCCCTGGTAACATTCAAACCTCCAACCTCTCGGACCTTCCTTACATTTACACCACAGAGACCTGTTACGATGTAGGCAAAGATTCAACCCAGGCAAATGATTTGTTGACGCCCCCTATGCTACGTCGTCCGGCGGATAAGCAAGCAGGTCGTTACCTGTTAATCCTGAATCTATTCATAACTACGCCCTCTTTACCTCTAAGCTCGAGTGCTAGTCAAAACACCCCTCAATACTGTGGTATCGCCGTCGGTTGCAGATTCAAACAAGCTTATTCCAAAACAACAAGAAAACAAATTGGTTTAAAAAAAACTTAGCAAACTAGTGCGTTGAAGTACCCAAAAACCTAATTGAAAATTACGTTAACTTTATGTTTGTTAAGTTATCTTTATGTTTATTTTGTCGATTTCTCAGCTGCGTTCGACACTATTATGGCGTAACACATCAGTGTTTTATGAAGTAAGCTTGGCGTCTCAGGTAAATTCTTAGCACTACTCATTAATACTCCTCTGTTATACCATGGTTATGCTTACTGTTACTGTATATTGTAACGGTAAGATCACCGAATCATTGAGACAATGGTTGTGACTTGAGTCCTCTGTTATTCAATTTATTTACGAGTGATTTTCCAACTATTTTTCATAGCTCGTGTGATCTTGTAAGTTTAAATAATTCACGGTGATGCCTACTTTATGCCGATGATCTTGTTACTATATCTGAGACCAGTAATGGGTTTCAAAACGCCATTGACAGGCTTTCGTCGTTTTGCGATCAATGGAAACTATAGATAAAAATATATATAAAAAAATTATTTTTAACAAAAGAGGCACCTACTTAACAATTTTTGTGTTAATACAACTATAAGAAAATTTATATTTTTTTCAATTATTTTTACTGTTGCATCTAATTTAGGCCTACGTCCTCTGGCTCATTTGCGGTCGCTATGAATAAACAAAAAGAAGAAGTAAACAATGCATTCCTTAAAATTAGAAGTAACCTTGTTGGTGTAGACTGTAACTCTGCCATTAAATTATTTTATACTTTAGTTTATCCAACTATTTCCTATTGCTGTGAGATATTGGCTCCATATGCTGTTTAATTTTTATGATATCAATTTTTAATTTTGCGATAAACGTTCTGGTGAAAAATCTTATGTAAAATGATACTTGAAAAAAGACCCACAAATAATGCTGTACGGGCAGAGCTATGTTAGCCACCCGTTACTCATCAACATTTTAAGTCTTGCTAAGTATTGGTAGAAATGACAAAAAGGAAAGGGTTACTTATCGCGAGCCACTGATGCACTAAATGAAAATAGATCTCTGTGTATTCCATGTATATCTAACTTGTCGTCCTGTGTTTTAAAACTAATAGGTTCAACTGGGATTTCTGATGTTTAAAACACACCTGTTATTTCTAATTTAAGCAAAGATCTGTCGTTAGAATAAGAAATACCCTAAACCGGCTCTATGAGAATTGTTGGTGAAATAATATTGTTAGGCAACCGAAGATGAGATCTTGGGAAATTATGACATACAACCAATGCAGTAGACAGGATTTTCAAACCGTGTGGGACAATTTAAGACTGGACCCAATCCAAGAGTGGACCCAATACAAGAGTAATTGATGTGGACTTTTAAAATGTTGACCCTTTCACACATATGAACCCAATAATGTGCAGCATTTTAGAAACTGGGACTCATTTTACACACAAAATCTAACTAATATGGACCAATTTTATGACGAGATAACGAAAACAAAAATAGAATCTATTTTTTGTATATCTGTACATCTTTGCAATAAATCGATTTTCTCATGGAACTCAAGAACTTTTAACTGTTTCAAGATTCAAGATTAAGTTGCTTTATTATCATCAACCAAACATGTGATAAATGAAATTATTTTTACTTGGTGCATGCAATGAAGACATGGAAGACAGTAAAATGCAAAGTATTTGAAAACATCGAGAAAAAAAAAACAACAAACGTATACACTAGAAAATTAATGTACTTATCTAAAAAAGTTATTATCTGGCAGATCTAACATTAAATTCATGGATAGTATTGAGTTGAAAGAAATTCTGTGTCTATGTGTGCCTCACCCCCGCCCCCTCCACCAATTAGTTTAATTAAATTATACCTAAAATCTAATAAGTGATTAACTGATTTAAAGGGTGTTTGGGTCATTATACTTTAGTGAATTTCTTAAATAAGTAGTCAACATGGATGTCCTTATGTGCTTAATATTGCGACCCATAAATTTATCTGTTCTTTTCATTATTTTCCTATATTTAATCTTATTTATTTCAGACAGGCTGGCAAACTAAACAAAACACTTAACACTACATTAGAAAAAAATAAGCATAAAATATCCTAGCTAATCCTAGGCTCCTTATTCTGTGTAATTAAAGTCTGGTTTTTATGCAATCAACGTTGGAGAGGAAGAAGGGAATAAACAAGGTTGAACGCTGCAAGCTGCACCCAACTATGTGTCACCGCAACCTAAATTCTATGGGCTGCCAAAGGTGCACGAATGGAACACCCCGCTTCGGCCCACAGTGACCTCTATCACATATACTAAGAATATACTATTAATTTATGACATACTATCTCATGTAGTGAGTAAAACAAAAAATTACCTCACCAACTCCCAACATGTTGCATAATGTAAGATAAACGCGTAGAAGACGAGAAAGAACTTCGGTTTCACGATTACTGCAACCAATCGTTTTTTTCTCATTATAAGGTCTAGAGACGTTAAAAGATAGAACACAGTAATCTGCTTCTATGTTGAAAAATGTCTTATTCTCTTTCACAACTATTGTTTTCCAAACAATAGTTATAACAAACGTGGCTTTGTTATAGCGAAGTTAGATTTTGTATTATATAAGCGTTCTTTAGCAGAAAAATAACAACTTAAAGTGTGGGGTGCTCGATTATAATATAAGAGATAAATTTTTAAAAATAATATATTCCATAGAGTTTATGTACATCCGTCAACAATTATGAGTTCATTGAAGAAAGCAAAACAAAAACAAAAACAAAAACAAAAACAAAAACAAAAACAAAAACAAAACAAAACAAAAACACAAAATATGTGAATGTGCTTATCTAAAACTGGAAGGTATTTATCTAGCAACCATTTTTTGGGCATTAAAAGCAGTGGCGGCTCTAGGATATAATTTATGGGGTGGGGGATAAGGTGTCCGACAGGGGGGGCTAAGTATTTATGGGTGTAACTATAGCGCGCAGCGTTATCTGAGGCCTAAAGGCCAGAGACGGGAGTGGGTATGGGAAGGGGTGTGCCCTCCTCCCAAAACGAGTTTTTTTTTTTTTTTTTTTTTTTTTTTTTTTAAATTGGGACTTCTAGATGGCCGGAAATGGCTGGGATGGGAAAACTAGGCCTTTTTTTCTTTTTTTTTGGTCCGACTGCCCGACGAGCTTTGACCCCGACGAGCTTTGGCAGATGAGGGGGGCGGGGTGGGGCTTGACCAGACCGATGGGGGCTTAAGCCCCCTTGCCCCCCCCCCCCAGCTGGCGTCGACACTGATTCAAAGTAGGAGTTTTGTAACACAATTTCTTAATAATTGACCTAATATTAGGACTACCTTTAGGACCAAGGGGAAGGCTGGTATATATTCAGAGCAACCGATTGCTTTGAATTAATGGCACCGACAATCATTAGACGGTGTCGAATCGTCAAGACATCACCGTGGGCGGACATGGATTCATCGGCTGACGGTCGTACGACGGTCCTTGCGATCATCGTAACCAACCATCACTCAAGTACGATGGAGGGCGCTACAAGGAAAACGTATATGACCTAGTGATTATGTCAAGCTTCAGAAAGGTCAAATTCGGTCAGTACGCTGATGAACATTGTAGTATCAACAATTGGAAATTTCGAAGGTAACCATTTTGCATTTTGAACAAAAGTTTTTTACATATTTTTTATTTTTTATATTTATTTATTTATATGTCACTTAAGCTTTTACCTCCGACGAAAAGCTTTATTGGTCGACCAAATTTTCGATTTATTCTCTGATGTACGGTTCTTATACATAAATAGACCTAGATTTTAAATGGGTTATATCCAAGAGGTACTTACGCCATTGTTTGCAATTTATCATATACAATTCAACAACACGTTTTGTAGATTTAACTTTATAGTTTAGCACTTAACTTAATATTTTGTGTGTAATTTAACTATAGGCTATATTTTTACTCTGTACCAAGGCTTTGAGCATGTACAGGTACAGTTTTATATAAAATAATTGTTATGTTGATGAGGTAGAAATGATTACAAATCAATGGCAGCAATAGCATCTAGAATTGCTGACACGACATACCTCACAGTCACATAGATAAAAATTTAATGATAATGCAGGCTCACCTCCGTATTATGCCGCGACGAAGTTCGAAATCACTGCACACAACGCAACACATATGTTGATTACTGTATATATTTTTTTGATTAATCGTAAGCAAATATATTTTCTTCTACAGTACTTTCCTTTCTGTTTTTATCTGTCTCAAAGAACGTTCCCATTCATGAAGTTGATTACTTGTATTGTAATGTCATTTCATTTAATAATTGTTCTTATATGATATTGATGGTGCATGCACTGGAATCTCAAGTCATATTTGAGAATGAAGAGAATTACTGGATTGAGTTAGGGAAGGAGAATCCATTCTCTCTCGTTCACTTTGAATATTGCTTCGACAGTCAGCCGTATTTCCATACGCCTCATCATTATAATCATCATCGTCATTGTCATCATTATCATTATCATCAATAGTTCAGTAATACAGATAAATAAATAAATGAATACAGTGTATTGCATATATTTTACAAAATGATCATTATTAATAGTCGTATTGTAGTTCACCATTGATACAACTGGTTTTACTTCATAGCAACAATCAGGAAGAGTGAGACATAAAAATAATTTAATAATATATAAGCAGGTACATGTGTACGCAAGAAAAAAGTTCATAATCTTAGGTAAAAAGTCTACAAGTTGGCGGAAGTTCACACCTTTGTTAAGGGAGTTCTTAGCAATGGCGGGTCCAGGAATTCGAAATAGAGGTGGCCCAATTAAGGAATCTCATATAGGGGGTCAATGCCAATACCAATACCATGCTGGGGCTGAGGTAAAGACATTTTTTGATTATGTCATCTTTAGATAGCTGGAAACGGCACCCTCAACCTAAATTTGAATATATTTTTCTTTGTTTTCCCCATTTAAAAAAAATAATTTTGCAAAATTTAGGAGGGGCCCGGGCCGGCCGCCCCTCCCCCCTCACCCGCTTGAATCCGCCACTGCTTAAATGTAATTATAATTATCCATAGACAGAGATTTCAGCTTTTCGATATGCTATAAGTATGACCTTGCTCGCTTACTGATTTTAAAATGAAATTTTGTAGGCTATATTTATATATTTTAGGTTCCAGTTTTTTAATTCAACCTGTAGTCGGTGTGACATAGTGTGCAAAACAAACCAACCCTTAAAAAGAATGCAAGTGTCAATCGAAACCTAGTTAAAAGCAGGGAACAGTTAAATTATAGGTTAAAAGGAAATGTTTTTTTAAAAAGCTCAGTTATGTAGAAAGCCGAAGAATCCAAGAAACCTAAGAATATTGTCTCGTGGAGAACGACTTCAAAATCCAGATACAATATCCGGTTTCCGGAGGTTCTGGTTTCGTGTGCTGATAGTTTTTAGTTATATATATATTACTTTATTGTATATATTTTTATAGGCCTATATGTATCCGCACACTATATTTTTACATTTTATATTTCGCTGTTCTTTGAACATTTTAAAGATGAATAATGTCAACCTTTTTTGTGATTCAATATGTCAGCAGTAACATTATATTTTATACAGTCATGTAAATATAAAGTGAAATGTAAAATCAATACATTTTACAAAAAACACCAGACTATAAAGTGAAATGTAAAAATCAATACATTTTACAAAAAAACACCAGGCTATACAGAATCACGGCAGAAAATTTTGCCACGGAACATGCATACTATTATACACGACGTGCTTATTTAATGAGGATGTAGATAACCTTAACATAAATCACAGTTTCTCATTTATATCTTTGCTCATGTGGAACGCATTAACAGCCGTCTTGTTCAGCAATTAAGACTAGATCATACAACCTGGCTACTTGTCAGTAAATTGAACTAATAAATATTTAAATTTCAAAATAAATAGTCATCATGATTATTAAGGTTATGCTATAATAGCTAATATGGGCTATTACCTGATTATAATTACTAGTCAACATGAGAACACGTCCGCTTCTTGGACAGCTTCACTTGCTTCCTTATTGAGTCTAATTCATCCGTTGAAGCCTGTTTACACTATGACGATAACAATCAACGATAAAAAGCTAAAAATCAATTGTTCATATAGAAAATAAAAGAAATAAGAGAAATTTCCACATTAGCACGATTCGATATCGATTTATCGTGTATACGATAACAGCAATTTAACAAAATCAGATCAAATGAGGTCATATTCATTGGAAAACGATGAAATCGTAATATTGAAACGATGTTATCGTTTTCCTATGATTATGACGTCATTTGATTTGATTTGTGAGATTATTTTTTTATCGTATAGGCCTACACGATAAATCGTTATCAAATCGTGCTAGTGTGAAATTTTTTTTTAAATTTCTATATAAACAATTGTCTTTAAGCTTTTTATTGATGATCTTATCGTCATTGTGTAAACAGGTCTTTAATCTTGGTTCGACGCGCGCAAATTGTTTTAGTGTGAACTATAAATTATAAAGCCTATCATTAATAGGGGATTTTAGCTGAAAAACCTACCAATCCCTGGCAAATATTAACTAATATTTTTTAGTTAATTCATGTGGATCCCACATTATGCAAAAAAATCCTCTAAGTATTTCGAAATGAAAAGGGTAGATACTGAGGTTAAAAGTCATTTGTGGTCAAAGTTATAGGTATGTCTATTGCTTCTTCGTTTACCATTGTCTCTGTATTTTGAGAAGCTTAATGCACTTTCTACCTATTGATATATAATTTTACATATATATTTCAATTTTGAGAAGATCTATTGGGCAAAAATTATATTTGTATTATTAAATAGACACATTGAAACATCTACAAAAATACCCTTACTATATCAAAATGTTAATAAAACATAATCTTTTAATGCTTTATTGTGGAAGTGCTCGAAGTTTTAAATTATAATGGTAGCATGTAAATGTGTTTGATGTAAATTTAAAGCTTACTAACTTTTCTATCTATTGGCTTATACAATTTCATATCCTTTGTTCAATTAGATTTAATTAAGACACCAATTGATATTAGGATAATCAGACAAATCTAGACAAAAAGCTAATGACATCAAAAGCTCCAATAAATAGAGTATATTTCTATATTTTGCCAAAGGTGGGGAACATTTGGTGTGTCGCAGGTAAATTTTGGGTCGTTTTATCAATATATTGTTGTATTTTTACTTAAAAATTCAAGTCCCATGAATATTTTACCTGCAATGTTTGCAAACTATTATCTACATATACGCGGTATACATATTACATTATGTTCTTTATATTGTGCTCACTTTTTATAGAACCATAGGTAGATCGACTTTTTATTATCGATGTAAAATCAAGCACAAAGGCTATTGAAGAAACACTGTGATGGAACAAAACACAGGAAGACAGGACTTGGTGGCACGACCATCTGAATAAGTTTTTGTTCCGTCAATTCACTGTGTTTTGTCAATAGTCTTTGTACGCCAGTCTTAATAATAATGTCGATGTAATTTTAGAACAGGTGAGATGTTCAGCTTAGTAAGAAAAAATCGTTTTAGACCTATTACTTGTACTGTACAGACCTCAAAACACATAAAATCTCAAATCTTTTTTCCAAAATATTTATTTTACCATGTGCAAAAGAAATCATTTTAGGCCTGTAGACGAAGAAGCCTAAACGACAATAGAAACTACTTAAATATGCTGCGCAAAACCAGAGATAGTATTAATTCACCGACATGGATCAATATAATACAACAACTATCTCAAATTTCAAAATTTGTAATAGTGTACAGATTGAAGTGTTCAAAAAGAAATAAAAATTTAAAGTGTATTATTCACTTTCGTTTTATAGGTGTCTTCAATGTACCTGTACATACTCAAAGCCTTGGTACAGAGCAAAAATGTAGCCTATAATTAAATTCACTTAAGAAACTGCTGAGTTTGATAAGACATATACAGAATTGGGCCCCGGATCCGCTAATTATCATTTAGCGATTGTCGCTAGCGCAATGAGCAAGTGTTAGGCTCACTTTAGTTTTAACAAGTGTTACTATGCTGTTACCATAAGTTCATGCCTTTACAAAGCCATTTGTACAAAAAAATGGTCAAGAGCATAAAGAGGCATTTTTGTCTGTTCTGCGCTTAAAATCATCGGCTTGGACATATAAGTGTAACTGTTTGGACTTTTTTTCCGCAAGAAAGGAGGTAAAAAAGCAAGCTAGAGGAAGACCGTGATGGCGTGTTTGACTGTATCATGACGAGGGTTGTCTAAATAGATATGAGGTACTAGCTACAGAACAGTTCCATTTTTGCTGATGCCTTGAGAATTGTGTGTATCTGATGGGTACACAGTTGATTACATCATCAAAGCAGCTGACAAATTTTTTTTTGACATTTTCGACACATGAGGGACGAGGGTCCGTGGCAAAATGAAGTGACGCAAAGTTTGTTAAGAGGTATTAAGAAAGCTATTGACCATGCCATTTAATACTTAAGTGAGCTTCAAGAACTGATGTTCGATGCGCTGAATCTGGCAGATGAGCTACCAAATGGTAAGCATCTGAAGGGCCCACAGGTGGACATATTTGTGCCTTAATGGTTTTTTTTGTTGTTGAAGGGATCATCAGAAAAAATACCGGATGACCCATGGAGGAACAACGTAAACGTCAAATTCAGGATCCAATTTGTACAGACTTTAGAGAAGAGATTTTAGAGAAAGTAGACGCGAGATACTGATTGTGAAACTAAAGTTGAGTATTTTAAAATGGAATTTACAGGAAGGCGACATTGTAGAGGTACACGACTGGAACACAGTGAGGAGAAGTGACACATTGGTAGAGTAAATGAGCCACATCTGAGCACAGATAATTATGGTACGTAATGTTGAATTTAATAACGATCAAACAAGCAGAAGCAGTCGTAGTTCCAGAAGAGGAAAATTAGTGGACTTTTGGATAGTTTTGGTGAGGGAGTGTATCCGCGCCAATAGTGGAAATACGCCCTCTATCTATTACCGCATAAACGCGTAATATGATAGTAGAAGATATTGAAAAATCATAGACATTGTGCTCTACGTAGAAGAATAATATTTTAGTTGCAAATTGAGAGCTTTATAGTAAGTAGTAGTTAAATATTATTTTTTAGCTTAATTTTACATTTTCCTATGCCTAACTATAGAATAAATAATGATTGTTTTACCATGTGAGCTAGTATAGTCTAGCTAAGAGATGCTTTTTGTGATAATTACATCTGTACGCCTAGTTACTGTATGGCTCAACGGGTAAAGCAGCACTAATGCCATAAGCTATAGATTTATACATGATTTAATGAATGTAAACTTTTTGAATGAATGTAAAACATTTTTAATATAGTTTAAATATAATAAATACCTCATCATCAACTGTAATTGATTATCAATAGCAGTGGCGTAGAAAAATATTTTTCATTGGGGGGATGATTGGCGTGTTAGCCAGTGTCGTAACAGGCGCGGGGGTGGGGCAGGGGAAAAACTGCCCCTCCCCTGACGGTTATTACCGGGCCGACCAAGTCGCCGTACCGGGCTGGGTAATAAGAGAAAAGAAAGAGGGGAGAGGGAGGGAAAGAGAAAAAGAGGAAAAGAAAAGGAAAGAAAAAGAGAAGAGAAAAATAGACAAGAATAAAAAGGAAGATATCATAATGACCAGACTCACAACACCCATGCAACCCCTTCTCCACTTCAAAAACTGTCATAACTCCTTTGATCTATGC